AAAAACTAATAAACCAGTGATGCGAGAGGGAGAGGAGAGTAGCCGGGCACGCCGCGATCTACAGCGTGCAAGAGCCTCGCTAGCCCACCAGTCCTCCGCGCAACACTAGCAAAGCCAAATGCCAGATGCCAAAAGTAAAGAAAAAAAAACCAAAAGCGAAATGCAAAAATAAGACTCAAGTTCACTCACAAAGCTCACACAGCTCACAAAGAAAACAAACAATTAAGTGCCTAAGGCCACTGCTAAACTGACTAGGAACGATAAATGCTGCTGCCCAACCAAAGTGCTGCTAAACAGCGAAACGGCTTGAAGATCCCATACTCAAAAGATCAAAAATCTCAACAAAATTATTTTACAAAGCATGATACACGTAGCCTACTCAAGGCCAAGCCACAACTAAGTGCACTGTCCCTGAGAGGGATTAATTTTTACATCACTTCAAAAAGCGGAAAAGGTATAATCAAACCTGCATTACCCAAATGGTAAACCCTAAGGTTATTAACTTCAAAATGGACAGACAACTCGACTGAAAAGTCCTCTAATTCAAAACTTCACGTCAATACAAATCAGTGCAGTCAAAACAACAAAACACAAGGCTAGACCAAGATAATTGAACTAGAAAAGGATGCTCGTCAACATCCTGCAGATCCTAAAGATCTAAGAGTCCCGATACACAAGAACTGTAGCGGATAGGAATTACAAAATAACCAAGTCGGCCAAACATTGGAGTAAATTTAAACCTAAACTGCCCTACAGAAATTGCCAAGTTAATAACCCGACCCAAATGTACTCACACTTGCAAAATAAAAAGGGATAACAGCAACAAAACAAATCACTCGAACACCATGCCAAAAAGCTCAACTGATAGTGCAGACATAACGCAAACAAAAGAACAAGTGAACAAGTACAGTAATAGTAACACAACTAACACTAGTGTACATCACAAATCAAGTCACACTATGCACTACAGAAATACCTGAACACATCAAAAATAATCTCAGAATGATCATGATAGAATACATTAGTTAACATCAAGTTCACACAACTAAGTGCCACAAGCAACACCAACGGGAATCAGCCAAATAATTAAACAGCCATAATGGTAAAGGCTGACAACGGAAACTCTGTGCACTAAGGCAGGGACACCTCAAGATAAACTAAAGGTTTAGCCAATGAAAAATGAAATGTTACCAGTCCACATAAACAACACATAGGCATTCAAAACTGACGAAGGACAAGTCTCGTCCAAACAGAGTCCCTAAACAAAATAATAAGGCCCCACGTTGGGCGCCAAAATGTAACGTGCAAAGTTACTCTTTCAAATACAACAACTGGATGCTAGCTCAGCAGTGCCGGATAGAGGGGCGTGGTCCTAGCATTGAATTTCTTTAGGGCGCCAAGGAATATCATTCCTTTCAAAACCAAAACCATAGGTACATAAATATCACAGTTTATTGCATTCAATGACTGACACAGTAGCACTTGGCACAAAAGTAGACAATAACCTCATCATGATACCGGCCACATGGCCAAAAAGCACACGCTCCACCGCGGGAGACTAAAACGTACATACAAAACAGTACCACGAGGCATTCCACACCAAACTCAGAAAGTCAGTGAACTTGAAGACGTCAAAACTTGAGGCATGGCGAAACGAAAATATCGAACTTCATAGTAGTCCAGTCATGGAGAATGACGACCCTAAAAGAGTTTAAACAGGCAATCACTAACTGAGAATGACTTTAGATGCAAACCACTCAAAGCGTGGACGGAGAGCTCACCGGAGAAATGAGGATGTTAGGCGGAGCTTGGTCTTTCGCACGCCCGGGTCGGTGTCGCGCCAAGCTCTGGCACACCGAGCCGGCCAGCTGACCAGCTGAACGTCAAAAGTGGAAGGGGGGAGGGAAGGGGACAAGCCGGAGTGCACTCGACGCACAGACAACGCCATCCCTCGGCACTGCCGAAAACCTTTGTGCGATGGGTTGCCTACGCGCCGGGCGCCTTGAACCCAAACGTCACGGAGGACCGTGACACATCCAAATGCTTGTAGAAGCGGAGGGTAAGAAAGATATTATTTTTGTTAAAGGTTGTCGGACATAGAGGTCTGCTCCTTAGGAATTCCCTCCATCGCATCAGCAGATGCAAAAGCAAGACGGCAAACTGAGCAGACGAAGCAAGAGAGTAGGCTGATTCTTTGCTTGTACAAAAACATCCCAAATTTTGATTACAACTCGTCTTTTGTTTTTCGCCGTGCTCTGTTGGGAGGGGCACGCTGGGATAGACAGACAGGGAGGGGCGCTAGGCTAGAAAGGGCGGGCAGGGGGAGGGGACCGGGAGGGGAAGGGGCCGTGGGAGGGATTAGGGCCAGAGAGAAACGGGAGGCCCAGAAGTAAGAAGAGGCTGGGGCGTGCCGGGGCGTGCCAGGGTGTTCCCGGGGTGTGCACGGGGTATGCCCCGCCACGGCCCGCCACCAGCCTGGCCTGGTTGGCGCCCCGGCCCGGGTCGGTGTGGCCGGGACCTCAAAGACTCCCCGGGAGCAGGACTCAATATTGTCTGCCTCCGCCCGCGCCACGCCACGCCACGCCGCCCCGCGCCACGCGCCGCCACCCGACAGCCAAACTTTCTTTCTGTTTCTTTCCCTCCCTCGTTTTATATATCTATATAACAACAGAGAGACGGAGTTAGGGAAATGGAAGCTGACGGCGAGGAAAGGAAAATAAGAATGAAGCTGGAAATCCGCACGGTGTGGGTGCGGCGTCGGGAGAGGGGTGGTAGAGAGAGACGGGGCAGGGAAGGGGAGAGAGGGGAGGGGCGGGTGCGGGAAAGTTTGTTGGGGCTGACACGGCAAGCCGCGTTCAAGAATCACTCGCTCTGGCCGCCTAACTTTTGCACCCCCGGGCAGCACTAGGGCAGAAGGCGGCCCCGGCCGAGCCCGGCCCGCCCCTGCCGCTGCGGCTGCCAGCGCTGCCAGCCCGGCGCTGGCGCCTCTGGTAATTCATCATCACTTAATGAAGGGGGAGGCAGTCAGCCCATTGGCCAGGGCGGCCAGGGCCCGGGGA